AATCGTAGTCATATATTTTTTTATCGCTGAATTGATTTGAAATCCCAGACTTATTCTTAGCTCATTGTGTTATAAGGGTTGATCACGAGTCGTTAAACGTAGTTCATACTCTTATATAGGTGCTGATGATTTTTTCCCGTTTTTTTAGGAAAAGTCTTTTGTTCATGTATTGTGTTGTGATTTTGTTTTTTGTTTCTTTTTGATTTCCACGCAAAATCAGGCACCAATAATTATCGGAATGGGTCGAGTGATTTATCATATTTAAGCCTTTTTAGTCGTAATTCGAACAACATTTTAAGAATTCGAAAAAAAATTCTCAATGTCGAGAAAAACCAGTTTGAAATGTTTTACTTTTGGTCCAATTCCAAGCTAATAAGGTTCAGGCTTACAAAAGCCTACTTATGCTTTTTGAAGGCTGAAAAATTTTGTTTGATTTAGGCGCCAATTTGGGAATGAAAAATTTCAAAAAGCAAAATGTTTCTCCAAAAAAGATTTTTAACGATTTTTTTCCCCTTTTTTAGCCATTTTTCTGCAAAAAATGTTTTCCAATTGGCATTATTTACTATAATTGTCGAATATGCCTAAGTTTTCTTTTTTCGTTCAGATCGGTTTATCACACCACGCAGATAAGACGAAACTAATTTGGAAATATTTTTTTTTGTTATTTTTTCAAGACTATGATCGGAACAATCTGTGCTACTTTTAGGCTAGCCTTGTTAGTTTCTGGTAATTTTAGTTGCGAACAGCAAATCATATTATAACACCTACTAGGCTTCTCCCGTTAAAAAATTGTTTGCATAGGACTCATCTCCCTTGAGATCTCCGGTTTTGTAAATTACCAGTTTTTCAAATTTGATTCGCTTTTAGATTTAATCAGCTGGAACGTTTTTGGCTGAAGTGTCGATTTAGTCGCCCCATATTGCTTCGTTTGATAGCAGAGAAAAGGTGTTTATACACATGATTTAATGGGAGATGGGTTTCAAAATTAGTGTGATATATTACAATATGTGGTAGGTTCAATTTCAATAGCTGGATCGCTTTTTGTTATACTTCGCACATTATTTATAATTTATTTCAAAAGAAATCAAATTTGATTTTTTTAATAGCATTTCCTTTAGCAGAGCAATGTATTTACAAAAACTATATTAGTACTAGTACAATTAATTGAAAATGAAATGACTATATTATGCATTATAGTTCTGAAATTTAATACATGCACTATACTCAAAATTAACACCTATTGTAACATATCGCCAAAATTACTTAATAGCAATTTTTTTCAGCTTAGTGTGTGTTCAAGTTTTCTCTGCGTAGTTAACCTTTCGGAAAGTTTGATTAAATGCAAAATCAAGACTTGTTATTGTTTTTTTTTTGGCATTTCGCCTAATTTGAATTCAGAGCAAACATATGAAAATTTTGGTAGTTTTTCAAACATTTTTTTTGACTGATTGGAGTTAGTCTCAGTTTCTATCACATAGCTTAACAGGCTATCTCGTTGTTACTTTACAACATATCTATTGCTGCAGAGTTTTGTCTTGGAGAAGGTTTCCTGAATATGAAAAAGCTGTATGGTGATGTAATTTGTGCTGCGGAATTCGATAATTGAAATCACAATTTGCTCTTATCTATCTTCCTTGAGCTGAACCTAAGGTCCTGGTTTTTTCTAAAAAAATACCAAGTACAATCTTGTTCACTTGCATGGAATATCACCAAACTTCTGATGCTGTGTAGTTTTTTGTGTATAATAGATAAAAGTTTCCATAACAGTCTCTTGGATATATTTAGTCTGTGGTTATAGTATTTTGCAAGAATTTCAAAGAAGCGAGTTTTATGTATTTGGGCCGTTTGCTTTGTCAGATAAAGAACAAAATTTTAAAACGAAACTGCATTATTGTTGAAACTTATTCAGGCTTTAATTTTTATTTTGGTGGCTTGGCGTTTGATTTTTCTTCTATCGCTCCTTATAGTCATTTTTCTTATCGAACTCAAATCACGCTCGCGGGTAGCAAAAGCGAAAATTGTGCTAGAAAAGTTTCAAAAGGGATTTTGTTTCCAGAATTCAGCAAAAAAAATAGTTTATGTGGATCCTGTTTTTTTCTTTACTGGGAAATAAATAACTTTTGTCACAGGTTGACTGAATTTTCAGTCATTTGCTAGTCCATTCTTTTATCAATTAACAGGCGGATTGTATGAAGTTTTTTCTCTTATGTTGCTCATAAATTTACTAACTCTTTTTCTTTATTCAGCTTGAAAGGTTTCGGCTTATTACTTTTGCTAAAACAAGTTTCGTAATCGGGAAGTAGACTTTTTCCCCCGTAAACAATTATTCTTTCATCTGAAGTTTGTTTTAATTGAAGTTAGTTTATTAGAGAACCTTGGCAACTTCGTGACTGCTTTCCCCTTGGTCGTACGGTATCGCAGTTGTCTCTGTTCCCTAAAATTGAGGGATTGAGTCCCGGCCGGACCTTGTTTTTTCAGCTTGTATGAAATTATTTTAAAAATAATCGGGAATAATTTAATTGTCGGGCATTTGCTCGTCTGCTTATGTTTTTTTTTGGCTTAGTTGCGACATCGTAGAATTTTTGGAGCAGTCAGCATTTTTTGTCGTAGATGCAAGTGTTTTTGATGTATTCCTGTAATTTGTAAAATGAATAGCCCTGACTTAAAATCTGTTCTTTTTCGTTTTGCTTCTTTGATTGATTGCTTTATTCAGTCTTAATGTCTGTTCTTAAAATCTGTTCTTTTTCGTTTTGCTTCTCTGATTGATAGCTTTATTCAGTCTTAATGCTTTTGGTTTATGTTTTATCGGCTTAGTTACCTTGGTATGTGTCGCTTCAAGGTCAGAAAATGATTGAATGAAAAAATCAGGTTGTTTTGCAAAATTTAAAAATTTAATTGCATTTCTAATGACATTTTTTGTTTTTGGCTTAATGAGTTGATTAAAGCGGCTGATTTTGACTCAATGAACGCGTTGTAGGCTTAGTGGCTGGTCGTAAAAAATTTAAAAAAATTTATGCTGTTATGTTGCTTGACTGTTTTTCTGAAAAGTTCTCTTTTCTATTTACTAGCTTGCAATTCTGTGCTTGAGCTGTATCGCAAGTGATGCAAAGCTCCGCTTTGCCTTTGTTTTTTATATCGGCTTAGCGGCCTCATTTTGAGAGGTTTGCTGAGAAAAATATGTTTTTATCTATATAAATAATTTGAGAGGGACTTGAAAACTTGTTTTTGTTTAAGTTTTTTTACCCTTGCGATAAGCAAGTGTATTGACATCGGGTACTAGACTTTTTCCGTAAATAACTTGGTTGATAGGACTCACCTAGGGTACCTGGGTTCTTTATAAATTCGAATTTGTGTCTCATGTACTTTTAGCCTTTGTCTTCTACCCTTTTAACCTGGACGTAACGAATACGCCTGGGTCGGCAAAGATGCTGAGTTCGAAATTGTCCAGGACCTGCTCTTTTCACACGGAAAATATTCGATTTCAAATAAAATTGTCGGCATAATATTTGTCTACTTATGTTTTGTCGGCTTAGTTTCCACATTTACGAATCATTTATTTTTGCTGCAAAAAATTGTTTGCTGTTGTTTTTAGTGTTATAGCGTTTTCAGAATCCGGTCGAAGCAAATTTTGATTATTAATTTGGTTGTAGTTTTACCAAATCCATTTCGTCGTTTTTGTCTTTTATTGACTTGATCGGTTTTGGCTTATTTTATATCGACTTGAAGGGGAAGGGGACTTGACAATTTTTGTTTGTTAGAAATATTTTGAAGTTTTTTGGCATTAAGTGTTTCTGCTCAGGTTGTTTTGGTTTTTAACGCTTTAAAGTTTTTTTCCGCTGCTTTTTAAAATTCATTTCCTTTGTTTTGATAGATCTAATTGTAAGTATTATTATAAAATATCGGTATTACTGTTTTGCTGATAGTTTTTCGGCTATATGGTTGTCGCTTAAGCTCTTGGTTTAGTTTTTAAAGTGTATACCACCTTGCATTCGGTACAAAAACGGCTTTCGTGTATTTTATTTGGCAGTACGTTTTTCAATTTTGCCGAACAATTTTGATTGATATTCTGCTGAATAGCTGTCGGCTTTATTTCTGTCGGCCTATTTACCGAATATACTGCTTCCTAAAATTTTCTAATTTTATTCATGAAATCGTAAGACTTTGCCCCCAATCTTAATTGTTCAATTTCAATCCCACTTGGAACTCATAAAAATTTAAATATGAAAAGCTTTTGATTTTTATTTTGTTCGTTTGGTTTTCTAGTTCTTTCTTCAACGGTAACGACCTTCAGATCCTCTTTGATAGTTATTGAGTGTCCTGCTGTTTTTATCCTACACTTGTTGTATCGCAAGTGGTGCAAGAATTGTCGGCTTTGTTACCGTTTTGTTTCGATGATAATTTAACTTTATATTGTCCTACTTGGCATGTTTTTAAAAAGATTTTTGGTTCGAGGCAAAATTAAGACAACAATATGAAAGTTTTGGTCGATCAATTTTTTCAGCTTTTTTCAAAAAAGATCCATTTTTAAGCTTGTTTTTCCTTTGGGTAGTTTGTCATGTTTTCTTGTGGTGCTAAGCAAGGGTTGCGAAGCTTTGTTAAAATTGTAAATTACCCCTTTTTCATGAAGTGATATTACTTTTTCTAAGAAGCAATGGGAAGGCGCATTAGAGATTTCGTAATATTTTTTCAGTTATCTCATAGCTTTTGCTAGTGTCCATGTGCAAAGTGAAGACACTTTTTGGGGTTGTGTAAAGGCAAACTTATTTTTTGCTGTTTGTCGAATTGGGCTAACTTCATCACAAAGTGTCAATCGTAAAAAAAATGTGAACTAAAGGGCTATCAGAAAAGTCTCAACAATAAAAAAAAATGTGTGAAATTGAAAAAATTTTGATGATATAGTTTTTCTTTGGAGCTAAAAAATTGAAAAAACAATAATAAGTTTTTTTTTGAGTTTTTGAGCACATTGACAATTTTCCAACTGTCGGTTTATGCTATTTAAGTATAAAGAGATCAAATATGACCTGGAGCCACAACCTGTAGACCCAAGAGAAAAGGAAAAACAAGAAAAATTGGAAAAGCATGTAAGTGTTATCAAATCAATGCTACTATTGCTGAAACCGAGAAACTATTTAAAGCTTTAATTATTTGATTTCTAGTTTGCGACGAGAAAGGAGTTTGAGCAAGCATATAAGTTTTTCATCTCGAAAGATTATCCAGAAAGGAGGTCGAAAGTGAAAGAAGTTCCCGGTGATTTATTCCAATCTATTGACAGTCTGGCACACTGTGTTTCTGAAGATTTCTCCATGTCTGCTGGAATTGCTACTCAATTCGGAAAGCGGTTCCCACCAATGCAAGATGTGTGCTTTAATATGTATGTCTACAAAGGTAATTATCAACTCCTCAATTTATTGAAACATATAGAAACCTACGCATGTGTTATTCGGGACTAACAAGCATAAGTTCTTATTGAGTCTTAATGAAGGAAATTAAGACACCTATTAAGGACGTGTTTTTTTTCGGAGAAAGTCTTAAAGGTTGTTAACATCTTAAATTAGTTTTTTTTTGTTCTGAACATTGAAAATGTGGAGGAACTTTCTATTCGGGTGTGTTTTAGTTTTTTTCTCTTTGTTTTCCATGCAAAATCAGCTACCACAAATAATGATCGGACTGGGTTGGGTGATATATCATATTAAAACCCTTTCAGTCGTGATTTGAACGGCATTAAAAAATTTCAAAAAGTTTTCCCATAACGAAAAAAATCGGTTTGAATTTTTTTGGTTTTTCGTCTAATTTCGAGCGAGTGAGCAGGCTTACATTAGCTTATAAACATTAGCATAAGCCCTGAAAATTTATTTTTTCTCAATTGAAGTTAATTTTAGGAGCTTTTAGCTTTATCTTAGAAATCAAAAACTACAAAAATTTGGAAAAATTTTTTTGAAAAATTTTTTTTTAAAAGTTAAATTTTTCTAATCGTTATTTGTCTTCAAAATTTATTTTCCAATTTGCATATTTTACAATGACTGACCAAAATGCCTAAGCTCTTCTTTTTCGCTCAGATTCTTTTATCACACCACGCCGAAAAAAAACCACACGAATTTGAAAAAATATATATAATTTTGTTGTATTTTTTTAAAGACTGGTCGGAACATTCTGTGCTACTTGCACAGTAACCGGCTATCCTTGTTTTCGGTTATCATTTTGTTTCTTTTAAGTCAATTTAAGGTTAAATTCAATTTATAAAAGGAGGCTTATTTATGTTCTCGGAAACTCATGTTTTAAAGGAAAGCTCAAAAATTGGACGAACCTCCAGTTTATTAACTCCAATTTTTCGAAAATCAGTCCTATAGTGTCTTATCAGTTTCTTAAATTGCGATTAATGGAATTAGGAAACTTGATCGGCAAAAGAAAACGAGTTTTGGATGTATAAACAACGAATTTTCAGGTCCAAATGTGATTCGAAGACATGGTATTTTATTTTTAGAAGTCCTGCTCATCGTTTTCTTCAACAAAGTGCAAATGGCGCAAAAAAATGTGATTTGTTTTTCCATGTGGAGTAAAAAAAAATAAGCTATTCATACAGTTTCTTCAAATTGGATCGATTTTATCAAGAAAGATTCAATCATACAAGATTACAGAAAATCAGAGAGCCTTCAGATTATGTAAAATCTTGATTTTCTTAAATTGAATCGTTTGATCTCCTCAAGTTGATAAAACTTTTCCAACGTATCTTGGCTTAGTTTACCCAAGCAAACGCTTGTGTAATTATACAATTTTTTTTTCAACTTGAGCATTTCAGTATGTGTTGTGTCCGCATTAGTGGTGGGCAGTTATAAGTAAAACAAGGCGAAATTGCGCAGTTGTGAGGACAAAAGTAAAACTAGAGGTCTGGGGCTCCAATCTCGTAAAGGCAGATTTTTAATATTCAATGGTCATTAACCTTATCTTGTATTTTCTTGTGAATTGAAGATCCCTTTTGCCATTTTCTGCTTGTTTGCGAAGTAGAGTTTCATCCTCTGTGTCGAACGTATAAGTTATTGTTTAGGCGGCGTCGCTCCTTTCGAAGACCGAAAAGGCAGGAGGTTTATTTACAACCTGGTCACCAAAGAAAAGTTCAACGACAAGCCGCTCTATCAAGACTTTCGCTCGTCGTTGCAGAAAATGCGAGACCATGCGGTGGGAAAAGCAGTGAAAGCGATCAGCATGCCTCAGATTGGATGCGGACTTGACTTGTTGGAGTGGGAGTATGTACGTGATATAATAGAGGAGACGTTCCATGATACGGACGTACAGATAACTGTGTATGTTTTGGAAGCGGCACCGTCTACTTCAAGAGGCGGAGGGTATACAGGAAAGAGTGCTCATGGGAACAGAAGAGGCGGTGATCAAAGACCTCACGGTAATGGCAGAGATACAGAGTCTAATTTCAGGCCCAATAAAATGAACAGGCAAGACCATGGTAACAGGCAAGACCATGGTAACAGGCAAGACCATGGTAACAAAAATCAGAAGAGGTTGTGAGAAAATAGTAATGAACTTTTATGATGTGTTTAATAAATATGAGCTTTTATCACCCACGTATAGCTTGTGGAGTATCACTCCCTCTACTTGAAAGAGTAAATTGCTTGTTTTCTGTGAAACGCTACTTCTTAAACCAAAATTACAAATTATTTTTAGATACGAAAATTGTGAGGTTAAATTAGTTACTAACTATGACGATGTGATTGACCAACATTGAATTGATGGTGTAACAATTTTTCAAAAAACGAGTGTTGTCAACCAGGCGTTTACTGATGATTTTGACTAGGCATAGATTTTCAAAAAACACATCCAAATGTGAGGATTTTTTGTTGACCAAACTGATTCGAAGCTTTCCTGAAGCACTAAATGTCAGTTCGCGAAAAAGTACCTAGTTGCTGTCATATTTTAAATCCTGGAATCCAAAACTGTATGGTCCGCGTTGTTTCTTGTGTATTAAAAATGTCGCTTTCACCTTCAATCCTGTGTTCAAAATATGTAAATAATTCGGCAATGTTGAAGCTTATTAATGGCTCATTTTCTCTTGAAAGGTTTAACTTCAGTGAAATTCTTTTTGTTTATCTATTGTGCTAAATCATGTTTGGTTTTGATAATTGATATTATACGCGTTGAACGCGCTTATCTTGTTACGGTGCCTTTGTATATTAACAACTATCCTGGTCCTCATTTAATTCAAATTGCATATTTCTCAGAATTTAGTTTTTTTTTTTCAGTAGCACACAAAAAAGTTTAAAAGATTTGTTCATTTTTTCTAGTGTAGAAGAACGAACTAATTGCTCGTATCTCGTACTTAAAGCACATTACAAACGACAATGTCATGAAAATGTGTGGTGAAACAGAAACATTTTCACATATCGTCCGTCGGAGGCAGTGGAAATACCTTATCATGTGCTGCGAACGAAGCCGACCCGCTACTCACGAATGACATTTCTAACTGAACCGGACCTTGACTGGAAGAGACCTCGTGGAGGAGTGAAATTGTCCTACGAGCGTATCATGAAGAAAAAAGCTGAATCAGTACTAATAAAACCTTTCCATCTGTCTCAATAAAAACTTGGAAGACCTGTTTGACGACGTTGGCCAATGATGGCAACCAGTAGAGACTATTTGTCAGAAGTGACGTCAATATCTAGACATGAGGTGGAAAAGACGACGACGACCAAGTCATTTTCACTAATAAAGGTTTTGATGATTTTTCGAGTTCAATCCAAGTAGGCAAATTGCGCTCTCCAATTATGAAAGTGGAAATGACTCAAAAAATGTGATTGAGTTCTAATTGATTTATTTGAACATGGATTTTTTGAACGTTTTATAGAGGAACAAAAAATTACCCATTAGTAAGAAAAAATTGCCTATTGTCTACAGAAATCCTTAGCCCATTTTTGTTATCAAGTCCTGCTCTTAATCAGGAACTCGACCAACTGGCAATCCAAAGGCCAGCTGTCGGTAGCTTTTCGACGAACCAAAATTTTGAAAGAGTTTTCGGTGCCAATATAAACTAAATTTGACGAGGTGAAATCTTTGAAAAAATGGCCTGTTTTGATATTTAAAAAAAAAAATTGCAAGCCGCCCAGAAAATAATGTCAAATAGAGGCTTAATAGGGTTTTGGGGAGGTTGGAAAGTTAGTTGTTCAATCTGACAAAAGGGTTGAGGAAATTTCTGAACATAATACGAAAAACTTCGAAGTTGCTACTTCAAAGTTTTGTTTCAGCTAAGTAATTTAGTTTGCAATGATAATTCCAAACAATAGTTTAGTTGATTCATAGACTTCATAGGTTTTGCTTTGGTTAACATATTTCCCAGAGTTCCCTACAACGTCAATTTTGACTTCTTTCAAAATTTTGCCTGCGATACTGAAATTTGTGGCAAAACTCCGGAAAATCTTTGATCTTAATCCGTATTAATAAAAATTTAACTGTCCGTGAATTTTTAATCCGGATTTTCTTTTGATCCGTGAATTAATATAAAAGAGTGTTTGCTCGATTTGTTAAGTGCAGCTCGGTGTCTTGTCAAAAAAATTAAAAGAATGTTTGTATGCTTGCGTACACCATCGTCAGCTTAGTGTATTATTGCGAACCTTCTTTTTTTCTAACCTAAGTCGCAAATATGGTGCCACTTTTGGGGCACGTTTACAGCTTTGTTAGCACGTGCTCTGGCATTCGAATATTAATAAGTTAACACAGTTGATGCATTTTTAATTCACCAAATGAACCGAAAAAAGCTTATTTGTTTTAAACAATATAGCAAATATAAAAACTCGATTTCAGAAATTTTCTAACTCAATATATCTCGCGATTTTTTGAATGCATAATTTATACATAATGTGGCTGTAGGCTTTCTGATTTGTTACATGCAAAGTTAGTGTGGATGCCTTCAGTTTGTTATATTCCAAATTTTTACTTGCAAAATTGTGTCAATTTGTATTTGATTCCACTTCTGCTGAATCGCATTGGCAATTTTTCAGCATACGTAGCTGTTTTATTGGTGACAAGTGCTTGTCGGTAGTTAAGCGTGCGTGGCTGAGTGTTTATTGTGTGAGGCAGACTCAAAATCTCTTGATTGTAGTAGGTTGCGGATCGAATCCTAGACCTAGACGAATTTACTAATTCGAGGCTTATTTCTATTATTTTTTCTTTTTGCACTTTCTAGGGCTGCTTTTTGTCGTGTTTGCGAAGCGAAGCTTCACCTCTGTGTTGTCAAGGTGTGTACTAGTGACTAGCGTATATCAATTTTGTCTGAGTTTTAGTGGAGATGAATTGTTAAAATTCTGTTTAAACACTCATTCGATGTTAAATCTACTAATTTGTTAGTTGAAATTCTGTTGCTTTTTTCATTTTATTTTACCAAACAAAGCTATGATCTCTAATTATAAGTTTTTTCCGGGTTCTTCAAGCTACCAAATTGATATAATAGCCTTTCGAACTCGTAGAAGCCTTCAACCAATTTAAGTTATAATTTGAAGGGTCGCCACATATTTATTTTGTAAAATTTATGCTTCCTTGCTTTATTTCCATGAAGAACTTATGCATGAACTCCACAAAAATAACTTTTTTTCCTGGGTTTTTGACTAGATTTTTGAGTTTTGCTGTTTTCAGCCTTAGTTTTAACAGGACACGTGCAGAGCAATAACTACTTCAAAATTTGTTATGTGGGTCGATTCAAGTTAAAAATATGTTAGGACCAAGAGAGCTAAAACAGGCGAACAGTAAAGGAGTATGTGGCCAGTCAACTTTAACGAAGTTCGTTTTGTTTTGAGAGAAGGATTGAGAGTACATGTCTTTGAAAAACTATGTCTCTGCAAAAACTCTTTGTCTTTACATGACATGAAAGGTTCCTGAACAAATTTTGACAAATTGTTTAGCTGAATGACTTGGCTAGACGGGTAGAGACAGGGGAGGATTTAGGGGGGGGGGGCGGACGCCCCCCCCCCCCTCAGGGATTCGACCCCCTGCCGACCCAAAGGGTCCCCCCTTTGATACTTTTTCAGAAATCCATTTTTGGCCGACCGAACCTAAAATTTTTCTCAAGGCGCCATTGGCGCCAATATATATTAACTTTGAGGGGGAGCGCGCGCCAAAAAAAAAACGCGATTTTTTTGTCAAAATTTTTCAAAAAGTGCCCAAAAACGGCTTTTTTGACTGTTTTTTCAAAAATTTGTTGAAAATCCGAACCACCACCCCCCCCTCGAGAAAATCCTAGATCCGCCCCTGGGTAGAGAGATTTCTTTTGACGTTTATTTTGTTCAAGTATAAAAGAACGAAGTGGTTTTCACTTATATAGGTTTGGATTTTTTTTCAGGAAAGTCCCCACAGTTGCAGTTAGTTAGCAAGCGTTATCAAATCATTTTATAGAATTTTTCGGGTTAACAACAAGAAATCACTTTTTTTTTAGTTTTTGGTTAAGAAAATCATTGAATCATTTGGACAGCTTACTTAATCAGTATAGCAAGTTCGTTGTATCAGTTTAGGCAACTAGTGGCAACTAATTTTGTCGGATTAGTTGCGACCAAACGAATTTCGCTGATGATATAAGCTTCTTTCACTATCATTAAAAACCCTTTCAATGTATTCCGTTTATAGTGTAAATAATTAAATGTCAAGAACTTTTTTGATGTCTGATTTTTTATATATATATATATATATAATGTACGATTTTAGGAAACTTTATTAAAAAACTTATTAGTCTCCACATTCTTCTCAGTTCCGAATGAAATAATGATTTGCATCGTGTTTTAATTTTTGAAGTTCTGTTTGTTTTCCGATTTCAATCGCTTGAAAATTGTCAATGCCAGTATTACGGCGCAGAAGGTGTTCAGATTTTTCTCCTTTTTTGCATGCCTCCTTCACCTTGTTAGATTTTTGTCAAATCCGTTTTTTCAATGATAAGTGTAAGAGAATGGCTTTAGTTCTGGCATTTATTTTGAGTAGCAAGTGATGCGAAACTCCGCTTCGCCTGTGTAAAATGCTCTAACAACTACAGAAATGCATTCAGACATACTAATGCATTTATGTATGCATTAAGCTATATATGCTTTTTTTGATTTCAATTCAAATTCATCTGCTGAAAGTGCTCGCCTTTATTACGAAAGTGCAAATGGTGCAAAAAATCTGAACAACTTCTAGTTTCGAAAGTGAGTTTCAATTTTAAGATTTCCCAGTAGAATAAACGTTTACTCATTGATCGTTTTCTTAAATACAGGTCGCTTTATCAAAAAAGTGTCAATTGTAAACAGTACTTGAAGTTCAAAAGAGCTTCAACCTGATCTTTTTCTTCTTCAATCATTTTTTAGGCTCCCTTCTTCCTTCACACTTTTCCAACTTTTTGTTGGCTTAGTTGAATTATATGTTCATTTAGATCAGAAATCATTGTTTTTTGGAAAATTTTTCAATTGGCTGACTATTGTTTTTGACACGTGCGTCATTGTGTCGGGAGCTAAAATTTAACTGATTGAAATATAGGAATAGAAAAAGTCTTTTCATTAGTTCTGTTCAGCATGAAGTGTGTCTACGATTATTTGTCAGTGCAGCAGCTGGCTCTTTTCCAGTCCCCGCTCGTTAAATTACAATATAATTGTTGATTAACTTTTTATACGGCAATTTGCATGAGAAGTTAAATTTAGTTTTTTTTTCACTTGATCATGCTTACACTTTTAATTACAAGGTAGAACATCAGAAGCAATTTTAAATAGACTTGTAAAAAGTGAGTAATCGAAAAAAAATCAAAGGGGGGGGACTGGAAAGAGCCCATTATTTGTAAAGGTACACGTTTTTGTTGTTTTCACCGTTCGGTTTTTGTTGTTTTCACCGTTGATTCATTGAGGCTATAGATCAGGAACTTTGTTTCAGTATTAAGGCTCAGTTTAGATTCTTGGTGGGTTGACCTCTGATTTCTTTTAAAGCTTACCTTTAATTCGGTTCCCAAGCTTATCACCCCGCGTTTTTAACCCCCTCTCATATATCCCAGAATTAGATAACCCCACTACAATTCTACCCCTTTTTAATACTATTGTTAGAATTAAAGTGAAACTTACTTGAAAGGAATTCGGAACCATAGCGTCGGTAAATATCAAAGCTTTAATTGCGAAAGTTTTTGAGAAAAAAAAACGAAATAACATGCAAGCTGCTTACTGCAGTTTAGATTTGAACAGAAATGACCTTGCCGATAGTCTAGATTTTGATATGAACTTGAAAACA